CAGCTATCATACAAAACAAAGGCAAGTTTTTATGTTTTGGAGTCCTTGTTCGAAAAATACACAAACTTAAACTTTGTCTAATGAAATACTTCTTCGAGAAGATCATGAATTTTAAACCTCTATATCACTGTGCTGCACAAAACTATTGCAGGCACTCTCATCAACCATGAATTCCTTGCACATCTTCTGCAGTTCGTTATTGTTAGAAGAAGTTAGTTTTCCAGAGGCAAGCAATCGCTTCACTTGTACGCTCGGAAGAATTCGAAGAAGCCTGTCGATTTGATCAAGCTTGATCACTAGTGGTATGAATGCATCCGCGCGATGATGCCTACAGCGTCAGTTTATAAATCATGTCCAGGTGTGTCCTAAAGTTGACCTGACACTCATTTTGTACTGAAAATTTCTGTACACTTATAGAGACAATCCCTCTGTTGTTTACTTCTTATAATGAAACACCCCCTTCTTGAGAACCTGGATCCTCCCGTGATGTGTTAATTAAAAATAAGCTGAAATGCCATGTAACCAGATGGGTAAATTGCACATGGCTTTGGTACTAATTACTCTTAGATCTTTGTTATATTTTTGATGACATAAATTTCGTTTTATTCATATTAAATCAGTTCCAGAGAGAAATGAATATCATTGTTGGTGAGACATAAGTGGTATTCGAATCTTTAAGTCAGCTTGCCCATAAGAAAAGTAGATTCCGCCACTCCTGCTATTCAAAAAAGAAGTTTACATGTTACACCCCCCCTCCCCCCCTTATGGTATGAGTTTACATAGCGACCCCACCCCGTCTGGTTTTACAGCTCCCCTCCTGATAATTATTGCACAGTCTCTTACTGCATGCTATTCGCAAAATATTACCTTTAGCACCATAAACTTGACCAAAACGGATATCAATCTTAATCGATGATTTTTGAGGAAACTTAGTTTTAAATAACTTTCATTCGATTCCGGCATGGATTACGTTCAACAAACAGAAGACACAACTTCGTGTTGACCGAAATGTCGTTTATGTTGTGGAAATGAAAAAAAAAATTTTACCACCTAAAAATATTCAGGAAAATTTCTCGGCAGCAAAATTTCCTTGCGTGGGAAAATTTGCGAGTGCGTGAAAAAGAGAAAACATATTTTTAAGTATTTAAAGTTGTCAGGTTTCCTTGCTTGCGGGGGCCCTTATGCAGGCCCACATTAGTTGCATAAATACGTCGAAAGTGAGTAAGCTTGCTATACAACAAACTGAATTAACAATGGAGATTAAGATTGCCGAACACAATTTTCGCGCGCGTTCTTGCTAATGCGATTCAGCGCGCGCACAAGACTCACAAAGAGGAAACATGGCATCGTTACAGCGATCTTTTTTTTTACAATAACTATCTAATTTCTCGCACGCTGATTGGCTTATTTTTATCATCAATAAGAGTACAGACGCGGATAAAATTTTAATTTATGCGAAATCAACTTTCAGCTGTCAAACTGTCAACTTTTTAACCAATGAGATTTTATTGAATTTTTTAAGTAGCCAATAAAAAAGCCAGAAAAGCTATTGAAGTTTTGATCTGAATAAAATTCACTTATCCTTGTTTACGGCAAGTTTACGGCGTCTTTTCCCCTCATTTATTCCCCGCATTCGACCATTTTGGGGTCTTGTTATTGTAAAAAAACAAATCGACGTCAGTTTTTTTGTGCGTCTGTCCTCCTATTGATGATAAATTTCGTCATAACATTGTCAAAGTTTATTGCGGAACCACTTGGACAATGTTATGACGCAATTTATCATCAATAAGAGGACAGACACTTAAAAAATTGACGTCAGTTTGTTAAATTTGCTCATTGGCCGAACTATCTGTGCTAATTTTCTTCATAATTGAATACAGCGTAATTATGGTTGGCTTTTATTAGAAATGTATGTTAGAAAACGTAACGATGCAAAGAACCCCGCAATTCAGACATCTTTTCTTGTTACCGAGAGAACCCAGTTCAAGGCAGCGCATTCGTAGTAAGTAAAAAAATCGCGATTAAATCGGAATAGCTTTCTCGCAGATACGCTTATTTCCGCATAAAATTTACGTCATCATTTTACGTGATATCATTGGCTTAGAAAATGTCCTATTTTCGTTCAGCCAATCACAATCCAGAATTACGATGTGTTACATTTTTTGCACTGGTGTTACAGTTGAACTGCACTGCTCTCAGCCAATCAGAATCGAGTAATTTTTTCATGTATGTTACTATACATTTAACAGAGGAAATTCTAGATATTCCAGATAACCCTCTACAAGGGGCAATTAAATCTCTCTCTTTTAAAACATTATTAAAATAGTGTTAACATGTGAGCATCGTTACAAGCTTGTTCGATTGAATTGGGCAATCGAACCAAATCGAACACCGAACTTTGTGTCAGTTCGATTTCCGAACCAATCGAACCCAACCGAACTCAATCCATTAGATTGTGTTCGATTGGGTTCGGCAGCTGAACTTAATCGAGCACAATCCAATGGATTGCGTTCGGTAAGTAAATTTGCTTGAACAAAGATTATGTTATTTGGTCTCGAAAACACGAAAATCACGAAAAACACGAGTTATACTGAAATAACTCGAGCCTCGAAAAACTTGTTATAGATTTTCAACTCCAGTTTTACCAAAAGTCAAGAGTCCAGAAATCAAATGTTCGATTTAGTTCGATTGTCCAATTATTTTTGTGTGAGTTCGATTTGGTTCAATTGCCGAACTCAATCGAACTCAATCCGTGGATTGAGTTCGATTTAGTTCGATTGAAGTACAGTTCGATTGGGTTCAATTGACTATGCTGGGAACATTCCAAATCAAAGGTCAAAATGATCTGAATGTTTTACTGAAACAGATTTGATCCTTTCCTGCTTTTTTGTCTTTTGTTTTTAGTATTGGAGCTATCTTTAACTGGGTTTGCGCCAAAGACAAGACTACTATGTTCATTAGCGAAGAGGGACGACTCCGCTGCAACTCAACGTATGACCAGCATAACGACTTAATCATGAACTGGAAGTTTGACTGTGGAGATCGTACGGGACCTCATCGAAGCACTCATTTTCTATCAGCTGATTATGAAGGCTTCAACCACGCGTTAGCGACGGCAATGTTGCAGTCCGAATATTCCAGCGTTGAATGGGCCATGACGCTGATGGCAAATTTGAAAAAGCAGTACAACAGAAATTAAACATCCTCGAGACTGGGAGTGTAGTTTTCGCATTCCTTTGGTACAAACACTTATACATTGTGAGAACATACATCCACCATCATTGCATAAATAGTATGGTTTATTTGGGCTGTTTCAGGTAGAACATCTTGTTTTGCAGTTTGTCACAATGTCCTTTTATTGATAGTAGAACTTCTCTCGGTAGAGTGCGAATAAAACATGAAGAAAGCTTTGGAATACAAATCGATATCTGCTCTGAATACACCGCATCGTTGATTTGAGTTTTAAATAGACGGTTTTCACGAAAATATAGCTATAGCAATCTCTATCTCAT